ATGATAAACTATTCACTTATCACTTCATGTGATATATACTAAAATGTATCAAATTTAATATTTAATTATTTAATAACTCAATAGATTCAGATTTTAAATTTTAGATTTTAGTTGTATCAAACGAACCTTAAGAAAGAACTTGTGAGGATACAATCACTAGTGGCTTTCCAATAGTGTGTTCTAAATATGTTGTTTCTTGAACTATAATTCATTATCCATAGCTATTTGGGCTTACGGATTGTGCTATGCGGTTGACAAAATATTCAATAAGCTTTCTTTAGTAATTGCATTTTCCTTGGCCTTCAGCTTTGTTAACAGTTTCTTATAAATAATGCTCGTGATCAACTACGTAAATTTTCACAACACCATGAAAGATTTGAAGCTACATCCTAAAATATATGCGGGAAATGTTAAGTTGTTGTGCTGCCGGCCATTTTCCTATTGCTTTCGAGAATAATTTTGAAAATAAATTTACTGACATCGTTATCAAATCACTATTTTTAAAAAAATTAAAATCTTGAAATGTGACAAACGATTTAGGACAGAGGGAGCAATAAAAAAGAGTTACTCCGTTAAAAGCCGGGGGTAGCTATATTTTGTGGCCCTAAAAGCAACTAATAGGCACAATCTACCATAAAATCTGAGTGTAGATTCAAACTTAATTTATGCTAGCACCATTAAATTTTAGGTATTGAATGCTCAATAATCAAGAGCACTAACTTAACTTTCCCCCCTTTATATCCTTGTGTCCTAGTTTTATGAGATTAGTTGTATTTCTTTTTAGAAAATATTATTTGCACTCTATTTTTTTATTATTTACACTCCTAACATTTGCTTTATTATGTAGTCCAATAAATAAAAACTATAGTAAAAGTGTGATTAACCAAAAAAGGGAGTGCAAATAACGTTTCTCTCTCTCTTTTTTTCCTGATAAATGCCCTCTAATGTTACACCCAAGTGCGTTTTGTCCTTTTATTTGTTTCTCCCTTTCTTTCCTTTTTTTTTTTTTGGTGTGTTTCCCCTTTTCTTCTTTCTTCGTTGCTCTAATCTGTTGTCTTCATTTTATTGTAATTTTTAATTTTTAATTTTTACTATATTAAGTTCTTATCAGAAATATAGTGGCTCACCAAGACTTTGGCGAGTGATATGTTGATTGCAAAATTTCCTCTTTCTTCAAGAAAGGCATGTATATATACCAAACAATTGAGGTCTTTCTCTTTAAATGGATCTCAATTCCAGCAGTGATTTCAATAAATAAGTGTACCATGTTTGATTTATTGAAATCTTGAAGCAAGTTGATGTTCCAGATTTGATTTTGCTTTTTCTACTTCTTTAATTGTCTTGCAATAATATAAGAGAAGCAAAATCATGTGGCCAAGTATGGTTTTATTGCAGTAAGTATGATCTGATAATTTCATGAGGACACTCATTAATCCAATCTCGCGACATAAGCAAAGTCCTGTTTGCCCTAAATCTTATTAATTCCTTCGAATTCGAAGCCCTACTCCCCATTCTAACTCTCTTTTATTTTTCGTTTCCTCATTTTTCTCCAAATATCGCTACTTGCTTTTTAGTTTTTTATTTTTATTTTTCCTCCAACTTCTAGACTCTTGTTCTGCATTTTGGGGGGGGGGGGGGGGTTACAAGTTCTTAAAACAATCAAACCGGCTAAAATTCAACATCACCTTAAAAGATTAATTTTAGAATAAAAAGATGTTACCTCTAACACTTTCAATTGATGTTGATATATCTTTTTGTATATTTTGGATAATTACTGACACAGATTTTAATAAAAAATATACAAAAAGATAGAAAAATAAAAAAAAACTTGGGTGCAAGCCAATAGAAATCAAAAGTGCGAGAGGTAATAAAATTAGAGCCTTTTAAGGTGACGTTAAATTTTAGTTGGATCGGTTGCTTTAAGAAATTGTATTAAAGAAAGAAAAAAAAGACAAGAGTCCGAAGATTTGGATGGAAAAAATTAAAAGGAAACAAAGAGAGTTTGACCAAAAATAAGAGAACCCTAGAAAGAGTTAAGGAAGTTGGACTTCGAAAAATTAATGAGATAGAAATTAAATGAAACTTTGCTTATGTGGTAACTGGTAAGGTTGGACTAATGATGTATACTCTAAGGGTTACCAGAATCATCCTGGTATACTTTTTACTCATTAAGAAAACATGATTTGAATACAAGGACTAGTATGCACTATATGACACTTTAATTGGGGTGTGAGTTGTGGATACAATCTTGTTATCAAAAGAAAAATATTATGTTAAAACTATCAATTGAACATAATATCGACAGGATTAATTAATTGTTGTGAATAAACTTACCATTTTTATGTTGGATAAGGTTATGTGCTTGTCAACAAGATTATTTAATTTTCCTAGACAAAGCTTAGTTTTCTGCTTTAAAAAATATGGATGAGATAATTTTAATCAATTGACACAAGAAAAAAAGGAAGAGAGAGAGAGAGAGAGAGAGAGAGAGAGAGAGAGAGAGAGAGAGAGAGAGAGATTTTGATAAAACATAAGTTAATTTATTAATAATCTAACTTGTAACCCTCCAACACAATTTGCTTGACAAAATAATCTGCATTAATGGCAAGAAATACATTGAACATGTCATAGATATATTTGATATGAAAAATCATTAGATTTAATAGAGTTACAAAATATAAAAGATTAAACTATGAATCACAAATCATCAAATATAACCAATTGAATGAACTGCTTCATAGATATCTGTGCATGTCTATTCCCTTAGATTTGCTATCAAACTAGTTCAAGTTCAAAACTGTCTATTCCCTTAGATATGCTATCCAACTAGTTCAAACTCAAAATTGACGTTGAGATCTGACAATAAAACTCAAGAAATTTTAGATCTAACACATAGATATGGAAAAATTCTTAGATCTAAGAAAAAAAAACAAAAAAAAAAAACTAAACAAAACTCTTACCAAAATAGCTTGGAAGAGAAGAAAACTCTCGCCAAAATAGTTTGAAAGAGAAGAAAACTCTCATTATGATGCCTTAGGAGAGACTTTATTAAATAAAAATAAGAAAAATAGGAAAGAAAAACAAAAGAAGAGAAAGGGAGACCTTGGATTAAGGCCAAGATCTCCCTCCTATGGAGGAAGAAAAGTAGAGAGAAGGTTGAAAGTAGAGAAAGGGGAGAGAGAAGGTTGAGGGAAAAAAGAGAGCGAGAAAGAGATTGATCATATTTAGATGTCATTTAATTTGAAGAGTTAAATTCATCACTTGCATATTAAAGCAACATTAAATGATCAGTTACGTTAATTTACTTCTGGAGCATCAATATATAGAGATTCTCTTTTGCAAGGAATTTAATATCTTTGTCACAGGAATTCAAAGGATCATAATTTAAACACCAAAATGTTGTTTGCACTATCAGTATCAAAGTCTCGTACAACTGGCCAAGAATTCACTTTGACTGTGAGTAACGAGATTAATTCTACCCTCTTAGAGCATGCATACATTTCCTCTTCTAGACTCCCAAAAGGGGTCTAATCAAACGGTGGTGAACATTACTTGTACATCGTACATTTATAACCAAGAAGCAAAATCCAAGAGGGAATCACAGATCATTCCCTTTCGAAGAACAATTTCAATCAAGGCAGAGAGTCCTTGTGGTTGTGTTTTCACCTACCATGGCGGTGGTTTCATATTGAGAAGTACGACAGACTTTTCAAGGCAGCCTTATATCTTGGACACGGGCGACATCTACCTCAAATTCAATGCAACTGGTCCTTTTCGACGAAATAATGATGTAGAAAGTTGGATGTACCTCGGCCCTCATGGAATGTGGCCACAATCCAAGGCAAAGGGACTCCACTGACAAGAACCAGCTGACTTGGTTTAGAACCGTAAACGGGTCGAATTCAGGGCCAAAATCGATAATTTTGACACTAAATAAATTCGATAAGTATAATTGTTTTTGATTGTTTAGTTACTTGATCTTCATATGTATCGTCGGATCTGGTTTCGATTGAATTTAGATACAGGTCTAAATATAAGTGAAATCAAAGATAATACGGTAAAATTTGAATATTTTTGATATTCTGTTTTACAAAAACTTGATTAATAAAATCTTAACAATAGAATGAGAAAAAAAAAATTCAACAACTACTTGATTCATGAGCCATCTTTATTTCTCAAGAAAAAGCATGTCGTCTTGTAATAAATTATAATAAGATATACTATTTACTCATTTATACATTTATATTAATAGGATTCGGAATCTAAAATGAGCTGAAAAAACATTATAAATCTCTATATGATTCGTCGTGTATGATGTAGATAGATGGATTGGAATTTAATTTGGAGTCAAATTTCAATAAAGGGGTTAGGAGATAATTCCATATCTAGAAACATGGATTGGATGTGACCAGATCCAAGGTTGTACGCGGTCCATTGACAACCCTAGCTAGTTTGATTCATCCAAATGTGCCCTGAGGTTTTTGCTGTCCTGTTATTGCGAAAGGTGGTCTCCATGGTGTCCAGAAGTTGAAACCTCAATATGGTGCTAAAAACAGATGTTCAAAAAACTTGATGTTTTTCTCCAATTAACATCTAGTTCAAGAAGTTGATATCATCCACAAATTGAAGGCAGGTAAAATAATTTGGTGCTAGTGGCTTATTGGTGCCTGCCAAATTTACTAATGGCTCATGTGAATTCAATAGAAAATCCATCCTCAATGCTTATAACTCAAATTGTAGGACCATTTTTATATTCAAATATACATTGCCACACTACAAATTTTTTTGGTGCGCTGGTGTGTATAAGGCTATAATCAAAACCCTGTAGTGGGTTTTCCTGTGCTTAAAATCATGCCTGTTCACGAACCAAATCATTGGGATTGGATTTTCAAAACTCTACAAATTTGCCAACTTGTAACAATTATATTGCATGAAAGCAGTTCAATTAACAGAGTCTTAATTGCAAATTTACCCAGCCACATCGTTTTTCAACAATGTAGAAGCAACTAAAAACAAGATATGAAAATGCCTAGCTAGTGCTTCATGGACCCAAATACAAAGCAAATGCAACAACAGGGCTCCTTACGAGATGTGCTCCATCGTCCCAAGACAGGGAACCAGATAAAGAAGTGTTCGTTTCTACCATTGCCGCAACCTTCACCTTAAAAAACTGTCTCTCTCCCCAGCTGCTGTGAATATTAAAGTTTCAGGTTCAACTTGGGTATTGAGAGCCGGGGGAGCCACCACTTTTGCTATGTATTTTGACTGGGACGAACCGACGTTCTTTACTGTTCTATATAACTCAACACTGATGGGTGTAGATGGTGGTACAGGAACAGATAAACTAGGCAAATTGAGATCAGTACTTGATTGGTTTTGGGCACAAGTGATGTTGTCACCGGTTATGTGTTTCAACTTCGATGCATCGTAGCGAATTTCACAGAGAAAACTTATGTAATCTAATACGGTTGCATCTTAAACCAAGCCAGGGTCAATGGCCTTCAATGGATTGATGTTGCCGGCTCCAAATGCTAATCCATTTTGATTATTACTATCATTAACACCCATTGGATATTTGGATTGGCTAACAAAAGAAAAGGGAACAAAAATTGATCAAAACAAACCCGAAGAAATAAGAAATCATATGTTTCATGAATAAATTCATTTTACATTCTTTTACCTGTTGTCATCAAAGCAGATTTTATAGCTGCAGGAGACCATAGTGGATGAAAGGTTTCGACATATGCAGCGGCACCGGTGGCATGAGGACATGCATGGAAGTTCCAGATAGGAAGTTGAATGCAACAATTCTTTTGTCACCTGGTACTTTCGAAGGAGGAATATCAACTCCCGGTGCAGCAAGGTCGGGCTGTAGTAAGAATAATTGTAAAATGAAAATGTGAATTGCACAAAGAGAACCCCGCAAGTAATGTAAATAAATTAAAGAGGTGAAATTAATTCAACTTTTAAGATATGTGGATTGATTTTGTTAGGCCCCCGCGACGAGAGCGATGAAATGTAGGGGGCTTGCGTTGTGGAGAGCCCTTTGCTCCTTAATATGGTTGCATAGAAAATTGCACGACATTCAATGATTGATCCAAATACAACGTTGTTTTACATCTAAAGATAACCTGGTTGAATTCATGTACTTTGAAATTCCACTACTCCCATTTGTTCCCAGATTCACAAGAGATGCTGGCAATGGGTAAAGGGAACTGAAGCCATCGAGATTGGGAACTAGCATGACGGTCCCGAAGGCACCTGCTTCTGCTACTACATCTCCTTCAGTTTTTTGTTCGCGTATTGCTATCTTTCCCTCAACCGAAACCGCGATGCGACCGTGACCCGAAACGGTGAACCATGATGTTAGCAGCTGGCGATTAGATTCAGTTTCTAATGAGATGGAGATATCAGAGATGGAGGGAGTGGGGAAACAAAAAGGAAGTGTACTTGCGCAGAGGTTGAGCTATCGAATCTATAACTATATTGGGTGCATCAGGAGCACGAATTAATGAATATAAAGGATCATTCATATCGTAGGTGTTGATTGAATTACCATTTGCTATTTATAAGTAGGTTTCACTACCTTGTTCAAGTGAATTCGAGATGGAAACCTAAAAAAGAAAGAGCTCAAGGAGCAACAATTTCAATCTTGGATTGTTTGAGATTTTCTTTAAAATGCGTTGATTTCTCTCAATTGAATTAACACAAGGCATTAGGAAAGTTGGCCGGCATCAACAAGCCACTGGTACCAAATTATTAATTTTACCGACCTTCAGCTTGTGGATGATATCAACTTCTTACACTAAAAATTAATTGGAGTAAAACGTCAAGCTTTTAGATATTTTGTTTTCAGCACCACTGCGGCTTCAACTTCTGGACAATATGGGAGAAAACCTTTCGCAATAATAGGCTGGCAAAAACCGGAGAGCACGTTATGATGAACTAAATTAGGATTGTCAATGGGACCGTGTTCAACCCTGGATCTGGCCTCCATCCCCCCGTTCATATTTCCAGATATGGAATTCTCTCCGAACCATTCATTCAAGTTCGAAATGAATTCAATCTATTTACATCATAAACGGGTAACATATGGATATATATTATTCCAACTCATTTTAGACCTGATTCCTGATAATATAACAATTAATTTTTTATATACTGACAGTAATTATATATATTGATTATAATTTGTTACAAACCAACATTTTTTTTCTTGAAAAATAAAGATACCTCATGAATCAACTGACTGTTGAATTTTTTCCTCGTTGTATTGTTATGATTTATTAATAAAGTTTTGTCAAAGTAGAATACAAAAAATCATTGAAATTTTATTATGTTGAATTGGATTCGATTTTTGCTTATAGCCTATGTGTACATAGATTCGACAGAAACCGAATCCAAAACTACATATTAAGATATGGTGGGTAAACGATCTAAAACAATTATTCCTTATCATTCAATTACAAAATTATCAATTTTGGCTCCGAATTCGACCCCTTTGCAGTTCTAAACCAAGTCAGCTGATTCTTGTCAGTGGACTCCCTTTACCTTGGATTGTGGCCACTTTACTTGACTTTACTTGAGGACACCCAACTTTCTATATCATTATTTCGTCGAAAAGGACCCGTTGCATTGAATTTGAGGTAGATGTCGCTTGTGTTCGCCGTTGAATTGCTACTTTTAGGACTTTTTGTTAAAAAATATACTGTATTAATTTGATGTATATGAAATAAAAAGATGGTTAGAAAATATATTTTCGAAAAATATAAATTTTTTTTTTCAGAGTATCACAATCCGTTGCCTTGAAAATTTTGTCCTACCTCTCAATGTGAAACCGCCACCGTGGTAGGCGAAAACACAATGTTGAGGCCGAAGAATATGTTGAGGCTCCACATTTTGGTGTTTAAATTATGGTCCTTCGAATTCCAGTGAAAAGATCTAAGTTTCTTGCAAAACAGAATCTCTATAATATACATTGATGCTCCAGAAATAAATTAATGCAACTGACCATTTAATGTTGCTTTAATATCCAAGTGATGAATTTATCTCTTCAAATTAAATGACGTCTAAATATGATCAGTCTGTCTCTCTCATGACTCCATTGATTAAATTATCTCATCGATATTTTTAAAACAGAATAGTGAGTTTTATGCAGAAAAATAATCTTGTTTGACAAGCGCATAACATAATTCTTTTTTTATTTACCAAAATTGTATCCACAAGTTACAAGCCAGTTGAAGTTTCATTTATTACATTGTTGATACGTGTATGCAAATCATGTTCTGTACTTCTGTTAATTGATGGAATTACTTCATACCCACAAAAGTAATAGTGCTAAAAATATGAATGGCAATAGTTATTAATTTGGATGGTTTATCTGTCTGTTCAAAAAATATATACTACTAGGCACTAGGCATGGGTGCTGATTTGATGGATTTGTAGGCCTATCTATTGTTGGGCAAAAAACCTGGGCGGCCATTAAACTTTTCTCATGATCATGTTTTGGCTATCGAACTATTTTTTATCAATGATTGACCATTAATCAGTCCACTCGTGGCCATTTTATCGGTAATGGCTCTTAATTTCTGAAATTAGCATTACACGTGACAAATCACATAGGCAATTTTGTCCGTCAATCCACTGACCGTTTACTTACATTAATGCATCAACTGAAAAGAAAAGAAAAACGGTAGAAATAGCCAATTAAACAAACTTTCATTCTTAAAATCGTTGTAGGAAGATCAAAGAGAAGGGTTTTGAAGATCGAAGAGAAGGGAAAATCGCGATGAATCTATGGAGTGGATCATCAGGAGAAGAGACGTCGACATTGATCCATATAAAATTTACGGTAAGTTATTTTTTGTGAAAAATCATGTGAATGAACTAAAACTGTACTTTAAACTAAATGTAATGGGTGTATTACTCAAGTTTGTGTCTGAAATCGAAGGTGCTTACCTGTGGGTTGTGAATATGTAGCAGCATTATGGGGTTTAAATGTTAAGGTTTTCATCCAACTACCGGTTGTAAAAGTGGGAAATTTTGAAATCAACAAGTGTTTTTTTCAGCCTTGTTTTTTCAAATGAAGTGATTCCTTTTTTTTCCCATTTCATTGCAGTGCCTAATTCTGAACTATTCAGTATTAGAATGTTTCACGGTGGTAGATTTAGTGGGCGTCAATATAAAACATATGTTGGTGGTGAAATAGATTATGTTGATGCGTGTGATGTGGAGAGAATGTCTGTCCATGAGATAAATGGCATGGTTGAGAAATTTGGACATAATGGTACAATGCTTTACTATAACTTAGAACCTGGGAGTGATTTGAATAAGGGATTAAGAGAATTACAAGGAGATGCAAATATAGTGGCAATGTGCAAATGGGTGTATGAGCACAAACTGATAGATGTTTATTGTGACCATAGGCCTTTACATGAAATTCTTGACATCCAGTCACATTCCCTACTGTTAGGTAGTAAGAAAAAAACATGGGTTGTAATTGAAGAAATTAATGAACATGGTAGTGTAGTTGTAGATGAACATGGCAGTGGAGTTGTAGAACTTGATAAACAATTGGTGGTTAGAAAAAATCTTTTTGGTAGCTCTTTTGTTAGTATAAATATGACTGCCCCTGTGACGCTCCCACTTCTCCCAAGGACGAATCCTAGGGTATCGGCGGGACGCCTACCTATCTCGCACCAGGACTCAATACTTAAAATGAGAAAATAGATTTCACGCTAAAAAAAAGTTCTATTTACTCTATTACAACTTCAAAAATTGCATAAACTAGTACATCAAATCATACATACCACGAGGACTAGAAAGTAAACCCTAAAAAAGCTAATAACTACAACCACTACGACAACTATATACATCTTACTAGTCAACTTATAACAAGTACAAATTCAACTATTCTATAGCCCAAAAGTCTATACACCTTCTCGAGCGATTCCCGCATCGGCCCCCTGCTAAGGAAAACAAACGGAACGGAGTAAACTATATGCTTAGTGAATAATTGGGGTAAAAAAAAAAGTAAAAGCACATTCAGATAAATATATAAATCCAAATATCTCACATCAATACAGAAATGTAACATCATAATGGTAGGATACGGGTGGCTCCAAAACCAATTCAATTCCTGAGTTTGAACACCTGTTGACACTCCGTCAATCAAAATACTCATGGTCCGTAGACTCTACTTAACTTTCCCCGTTCATCTTATCAACCCCCGCTGGCCAGTCAACAGCACATAGCAGCTCGAGCGAAATAAAATAAGTTAGCTTTCATCAAAGTTTTAACAAAGAACTAAATCCCAAGGTTAGTATGGAACTATTTTCGACCAAGCCCCGACTGGCTCGAATAGTTCGTCTATCCTTAGAATCGGGTTGGAACCAAGTCTTGAGATATCCGATCTCTCAATAGATGATATCTCTCAACAAAGTACACAACAAAGTACTTACCTCAAACAGTGCACAGCAAAAGGGGTTTAACTCAAATCATGTAATCACCCCATCAGCACACAGCAAAAGGGTGATGCTCAACAGAAGACAGGTATCCTCACATATGAAATCAAAACAAAGGATGGGTTTAAGTCGAGTGCGATAAAGTACACTCTCGCCTAAGTACCCATTTAACATATTGTAGACACCGAATTTTTGTCAATTTTTAATATTTTAGTGAATTTTTTCTATTTAATGAGTTATTTATTTTCTTATATATTAATGTGTGATTTTCTCATTGTTGTAGGTTTGTTTTTGGAAAAAGAAAAAAAAACACAAAAACAAAAGAGAAAAATCAAGAAATCAAAAATCATTTTTATCATTTTCCCTACCAAAACAACTATTAACCCATTCCACACTCAATTGCCATGCACCTTTCTTTTCATTAGCTAAGAAGTCATCATTTTGGCAAATCCTACACACAAGCTCCATTTTGGCTACAAGTCTCTCTCGGCTCTCTCTTGAAAAAGAGGGAAAAAAATACACAAAAAATAAAGGGGAGGCTCTCGGCTCTCTCTCTTGTCTCAACCAAAAAGAAGAAGAAAAAAAAAGAGAAAAACTCCTTTCTCCCAAATTTTTTCCAACACATTTGCACACAACAAGGCAGCAATCGGTTGGATTGCAGCTGGCAATTTCATCAAAAACCTTGGCAAAGGGACCAAACTCTTCATTGAGGTATTTATCTCCCTTTTTTCCAGCTTTTCTTTTTTTAATTAACTAGATTGAATGTATGTGTGGTTACCTTTTTTATTGCTTATTTTTGCTGGTTTTTGTTGGTTTTTGTTGGTGTTGTATGGATGAAAATTTGGGAAATGACATGAACTAGATTGAGGAAAAGAAAATGTTTTTTATGTATGCATGTTAACTGTTTGAAAAAATGCCAAAAATGGAAAAGAAGGAATTTTAGGGGGCTGTTTTGCTTTATTTTAGCTCTTTTTATGTTGTTTTCTTGTCAAATAAAAATCATAGTTGTAATGTAGAAGCTATAAGGAGAGTTTAGGCATAATTTTTATGATTTTTTGGTGGAGGTTTAAAGGTTTTAAGAAAATAAAAACTGGATTGATTTCTTGGTTTTTTGGCCACTTTAGAGTCAATTTTTGTTAAAACTAAATCCGGAGATGGAATCTACTCGAAAAATGAAGTGTGGAGGTGTATTTTGAGAAATTTTGGCGATCGGCGGTGGCGCCGCTGGCGGCCATGGAGCTTCTTCAGCTGGCCGAAGAAGAAGGGAAGGAAACGGCTGTAAGTGAAGGAAGAAGAAAGAAAGAAAAGAGAAGAGAAAAAGAAAAGGAAGTAAAGAAAAGAAAAAGGAAAGTGGTTTGGGCTAATTTTATTTTTTTTAGTGGACTTGTTCTTATTTTCGGTTGGGTTGTCAGACCCATGCTTTATTTTTGGTTGGGTTTGAGTGATAGAAGACGGGCTGGCTTATGTGTTTTGGCTTGGGCTTTCGGTTGGGCTTAGGTAGCGTTCGGCCCAAAGAAATAAAATGATGGCCTGG